GGGGGGGGGGGGGGGGGGGGGGGGGGGGGGGGGGGGGGGGGGGGGGGGAGGGGACAGACGATAATGAGCAGAGTTTTCTACAGTAAAACAGACCTGAACTTCGGGCGGTGGGGTGAAAGACCCCTCCCCTCCTCCTCTTCCCACATCTGGCAATGCACATGTACTTCTGTAATAGGGAGAACGAATTTTTCCAGATGAAGCGGCAGGGTCGTCGTCAATAAGCTGACGACGAAGAGATTGCAGCAACATTGGTCAACTGCCCCAGTGTAGCCGAAAAATCAGATTACGAATTGCAGTTTTAATACAAGTATTCCGAGATATGCTTTTAGAATATAGTATTTCGGTACCGAGAAATTTTAATGCCAATTCATTGTAAGCTTCGAGCATTTCATCGTGATCCTCAAATTCCAATGTCATTTTTTGTGAGGCCATGCCGCGAAACATAAATGGGAATTTGTTGCCACTTGGTGGTGATCGGGGCATTTCTTTTAAATCCTCCATAGGCATGACCTAAAAAAAAAACATATTTATTGTAAGCATGTTTTTCTTCGGCAATCGTACGTGAGCGATGGATTCAAGATGTAAAGACGAGACGTTTGGGAACAATACCCCTGCAAAATTTCAACTTTTTAGCTTCTCCAGTTCTGAAGTAGAAAGTGGGTGACAAAGTTTAAAAATACAGGAAATCAAACCCTTTCTCGTATTTTCGAATCATACTGGAAAACTTCAACTCATCTATTCCAGACTTCAGTAAATAATCTTATTTGATCAACACCACAACCGTCGTACTTTGTCCTGTTGTGATTTTAAATAGGAGAATGCGTGTAACTTAATAGACCAAAATATTCTCGTTCTTTTGATTTTTCGTTATTTTGTATGTATGTATATATATGTATGTATGTATATATGTATGTAAATAATCTTAGTCAACAATCTTGATTAATCCTAATTAATCTAAATCAATCTTAATTAATCATTGATCTTGATTAACCGTCTTAATTAATCTTAATTGACCGTCTTGACTAATCTTA